ATGAGTAGTATTTCGAGCCAAAACGAGCCGAACACAAACTTCTTAGCGAGCCGAACACGAGCTGTTCGCGGACAACGAGCCGTTTTGACAGCCCTACTTTCAATGGTGGGCACCTACAATAATGATACTTTTAGGCAAATTTTAACTAACTTCCAAATAAGTGGCCGTCTTTGCTTAAACATGCTCAATACTAGGCCTGCCTTGAGACCCGCCTCATCAATTTTTACAAAAAAAAAATCACGATTACGCCTCACCCAAGGCTGAGGCGCACCTCAATGGATTCCTCGCCGTAAAAAAAACACCTAATTTTTTTTAGACTTTACATAATTTTTTTAAGCAAAACTAATAGTAATATGATTTTACCTCATGTATTAACAATCACACCTCGTAGACTATATAACAAAAAACAAAAGGAAAATGTATTCATAAAAAGTTATGTAGTTGAATTCTAATTATCAATATAGTTATTATTTGAATTAATATTTTAATTGATGTTATTCATTAGAAAGTATAAAATAGATTAGACGATTAGAGTAATAGGGACAAATCAAAAATTAAAAATTTGATGATTTATATTTTTTTTAGGTGTGGGTGGGTATTAGTGAGAGGGAAATATTAATGTTGAATTTATTTTGATTATTATATTTTGATGTTTTTGTATTTTTTTTTTACATCGTAGCTTGCTTTAATAGTTTAATGTTTGTATATCTCATCTTATTCCATAACTTGATGATATAATGTTAACATGTTATTTGTAATTTTATGCAATCACAAATATTTTTTAGAATATTAATATATTATTTATTTCTATACAGTTTATAATTTATACAGTTTATTTCTATTTCAACCCCCCACCTACCCGCCCACCCACCGACCCACCACGCTGAATCAAAATGCCAAAATACTCATTTACAAAATTTTAAACTTGTGTGTAACTTTCTTGTAATATGAACAATATGCAAAATTGACCAATGAATCATAGTAATAGAAAATACATCCCTAATTTAGGTTAAAAAAAGTGATTTATACCATAAAAAGGCCATGGTATTGTTAATTTATATTGGAATAGTTTTCACATAATATTCTAATTCGGGCAACATGTTTTGAAGATATTGAGTCAATGCAATTGCACCCTATACTTGGTTGAGATGAACATTGTGCAAAAATCAACTTGGTGGGTGAGATATATAGTTATCTTGTCTTCAAGTGAAATCCTCGAGCACAATATATAATTAATTCTGCAATAAAATTCCTTTTAGAGTTTTAGGGTGATTTGATATTATATTTCTATTAGTACTACAACAACAACAAAGCCTTAATCCCACTACGTGGGCTACATGAATCCTTTTTCTCCATTGCGTCCTATTTTTAGTTTTAGGGTGATTTGATATTATATTTTTACTGGTGGAAAAAAATTCTAAATAATAGAGATATGGAAATTGAAGTAATATTTCTCATCAATGAAACAACACAAATGATATACAACAAATTGGGACAGGGAAATGTGTTTTTAAAATGCAAGAATTTTGAGGGCAGTTATCATTCAGCTTTTAAATTTCATGTAGAAACATTTTAGGTAAAAAAAAAAATGAAAACCAGAAAAGAAGGTAAATATACTTGCGATTTGGAGGATGACAATGAACTCACTTCAATGCACACATTGTGCACTTTTGGAGAGTATAAATCTTAAATTCCCATTATTCAGCTTTTGAATCTAGATTGCTGAATGCTGGCTCCCTTTGAACATGGATTGTTGAATTCTTCGTTCCCATAAATTTTATTTTGGAAAAAAAAAAATCATAACAACTCATTTTATATGACACTAAATAGGACACAATGGAGAAAAAGGATTCATGTAGCCCACGTAGTGGGATTAAGGCTTTGTTGTTGTTGTTGTATAATAACTCATTTTATCATTTTCTATATAATGGTGTAAATTTGATTATTTATTTTTTTATTTTCCCACTCTAATTAGATTTGTTTTTATGGAGTTGGTTCCATGTTGGAAGAAGGCAAGAGCTTAACATACTATTTTTAGGATATTTTAAGCCTTTTGTACCAGTACTGTGACCAGAAAGTATCATTTCATGAAACTTTTCTAGTATGTGAAATACACCCCAAGGTGTGATAAGTTCAAATATCAAACTTCTGGTTTTAGATATGCAAATAAATAAGAACTTTGTTATGTATCAATTTGTAGCGGCCTCTATCCTTTAATTGCAAAGGCAAAATTCTCATACTTTTTTTCTTGTGAAATTCAATTTTTCTATAGAACAATAACGTGCAATTACCAATTTCTTGCTTAGTCAAACTGCTGACAAACATTTTTTCTGCATTGAAGGGAAGTTTCCGACTCTGGTTACTCATCAGGAATCCTTGGAATCAAAAGTAAATGAAACCAAAGCAATGGTCAAATTTCAGCTGAAGAAAGTTCTGTGTATGGGCGTTGCTGTGGGCAACTGCGCAATGGAGGAGAAACAGATCTTTCAAAATGTTCAGCTCAGCGTTAATTTCCTTGTTTCTCTTCTGAAGAAAAACTGGCAAAATGTAAGTTTGCTAGTCATTTTGTGCGTTCACATACATACCTCCCAATTGTTATGTATTTGCTCCCATTTCTTACTATGTAATTTAGCACCTCTAACTTTTTTTAAAAAAAAAATTACTTCTCATTAAAAATGCCACGATTTTACTTTTTTAAATAGTGAAATACACCTTTTAATGCATAAGTAAGGTGGTATGTATGTAAAATTTTAAGTTTAGGTGTTAGATTCGTAAATTTATAAGAATTGAGTGGTATGTATGTAAATGTTCTTTATGATTTTGCATTTTCATAATACTGCAGTTCATTTCTTTTACTGGTCCATATGTTTTTTTTGCCTTTTATCAAATTTTGTTTTGTTTTTGTTTAATTCTGCTTTTGATTTTTCTTCTGATGAATTTCAGTGAGGGAACCTTCAGGTTAGTTGGTTAATATTTATTTTGATTTGGCATTTTCATTAATACTACAGTGCCTTTTTTTTTTGCTGGCCCATATGTTTTTTTGCCTCCTATCTAATTTTGTTTTGTTTTGGATTCATTCTGCTTTTGATTTTACGTCTGATGAATTTACCTAGGTTGGTTAGTATTTTTTAGTTAGAATGTCTTTGATTGTGCGCTCGTCCTTCCTTGTTGTTGAATTCAAATCTGACCTTTGATTTGTGCTCAAGGAATAGAATGTGAAACCCAAGGGAAGGAGAAAGAGAGAGACACATGCCCTGCCGGGAGGTAAATATGGGTGTTTATGGGCTCTTAGACCCATTTTATTCCATAAAGAAAGATGTTACAAGTGGAAGAACAAAATGAACTCTAATACATGTCATAGACCTCCTATTTATAGAAGATAAAAATGATAAAGTATAAAATTACATTATAGCCTTGTTTTAAAGTGAGAAGCAAAGTGCATTTTGGTTCCCTTATTCCAACTATTGGATTGTCTTGAAATCTGTGCATATCATTTTTGAGTTTACGTATTAAGTTTTTCAATTTTCTTACTCATTAATTTATAAATCAATCAAATCATTAGCACGTGAATTGCTAATGATACTCCTTGTTAGATGCTCTCCGTGTTCTTTTTTGGCATCTTTGGCTTCATCCGCTATAATTAATTAGTCGTTGAATGATTCCGGGATGATTCACACTTTCCCACTCGCAAAGCTAGTCGTTGTCGAGTAGCAAATCATCTCAACGGCCGAAGACAATCGTTGTATACTTCTTGCAAAGCTTGTCGCTGCCAGGTGGCGAGTCATCTCAAGGGTCGAAGACGATCATAGTATAGCCCTCCGGAGCTCATCGTTGTCAGGTGGCGAGTTATCTCAAGGCCATTATTATTGATCGGATCTCTATGGTGTCGTGTCAGCTATGCTATCCGGGTTTGAGTTCTTCAAGTGTTGGTGGCTTCCGGAATGTCTGAAGTCTTCAAACTCCTTGAACTTGACCCACTATAAATTTCTCTCTGCCGGCTGAATGAAATGGCCGATGGGTCTAGGGCGCAACAAAAATATTGCTGACCAGCAGAACTGGTGCGCGACAGAGATTGGCCTGAATGATAGCCAGTGCAGGGAGCAAAGCTGTCCCGCGACAGGTAGGGCTGATCGGTGAGGTGGTCAGACGACATACACCTCAAATTCAATACACTTTTGCTAACTAGGAAGCTCCATGTGAATGCTTGAGGATTGGTCAGGAGATGCAGTGCGGGGGAAACTATTGCTTAGGAGATAGGGTCAGCCAACTTTACAGTCGGCACGGTGGAGATGTTTGCAGCATGGAAAAATCATAGTTTGGGCTTCTGAAAATAAATTTGGCTAAGTCGGCGGTGGATATCTGCGCCCGGGAGGAGCAGTGGAGGTCTCCAGGTCTAGAAACGAAGAGCATACACTGATCGTCAGTGACAAGAAATCTGTTGTTGTGCAAGTTTTCCTTATGTTTTTTGCTTGGAGCGCTTTTCTGAAGAGTATTTTCTTCGGTGTTGCTCGTTGTCTTGTTGATGACACGATCCACGCTCACCGTACTTTTTATGATATTGAATCCAAATCTGTCATTTAGAACGTGCCCAAGGAATAGAGTGTGAAATCCGAGGGAAGGAGAAAAAGAGGCTTGCCCCGCTAGGGGGCAAAGATGAGTATTCTTGGGCTCTTAGACCCATTTTTTCCATAAAAAATTTGATGTTACAAATTAGGGAACAAAATGTCCCTAATGCATATCATAGCTCTTCTATTTATAGAAGATAGGAAGGACAAAGTATCAAAATTACATTATTAAACTTGCTTTAAGGAGAGGAGCAAAAGGCATTATGGTCCCCCTTATCACGACCATGCATTGTCTCAAGATATGTACAAACCATTTTTTTTCTATATACATTATTTTTTTTTTAGGATAATTTCATACATACTACTCGGAACATTGATATTTACAAATTAACTACCTAAGTAATTTTTTTGAACCGTCGAATCGATGTATTTACGTATGTCACGATCAAACTATGAAAATATGGTGAAAATGAAAAATATTTGGGGTTTTGCCATGAATTATTTGAGTGGGAATTTGAAAAATGGATGAAAGATGATGGTTGATGTGTAAATACCAAGTTTCGAGTGGTCTTTGTCGGACCAAGGAGCTTTTTGAATCTTAGCTTTGTTGCTAGGATTTCAAATAGTGATGTTATAACAAACTACAATTAATCTATTTGTTACATGACATTGATAATGCTTTGTTAGTCTCTAGCTTTTTTGTGCGGCATTTGCATATGCCACACACTTCTTATGTATTTGCATATCAAACACCTGAACTTTCATATTTACATGCATATCACTAATATCTTTTATATCACATCAAAAATACCACTATCATCGCACTCATGCATAAATTTATGACAAAGTGTCATAAATATAAATATCAAACTTTGGGTGTTACATATGCAAATATATTCGCACGATGTAACATGTATGTAATTTTCTATTTTATTTTGTGCGTACATGCTTGCATCATTGATACTTCTCATCAATCCAAGTGAAATGGATTGCAGTGAGAACTTGATTCAATTATTATTTTTATTTTGCTTTATTTGTTTAACCATTACTGGGCACCATTGATCCACTTAATATCTGCATTAATCTTCTGTTGCCATTTCACGTAATTAGTGGATGATTGGATTATTAGTCAGTTATAATTACTTCTTATGCCATGTTTAATGTTCTAATTGAGATTAAATGGTACAGGTGAGGTGCTTGTATATGAAGAGCACCATGGGCAAGCCATACAGAGTGTTCTGAGTTCAGCAGATTCCAGTGGGTTTTGCAGACGCTTTTTCTATTACTGTTTTTTTATTCTTCTTATTGTGCTTCGTAGAACATCATCTCCTCTTAATCATCAAAGATTTTGGCTTCTACCTTTTGTTAAATTTAACCATGTTTGCCTTATATTTAATTGGAACCCTCTGTGCTTCGAGGAATTATTGCGTGCGGACACCGCATGCATCTCTGCATGCGGTGTCCGTTTCTGGCCGTAGATCACGGTGATCTACGGTCAGGATTATTTCTGTTTTTTTATATTAAAAAAAATTTAGGTGGGGCCCACCGAAATACATCGGGACCGTAGATCAGGTGATCTACGGACCGTAGATATGGAATAATTTTTCCTGTGCTTCAGTTTTATTTAGACGTCCAAGCTAAATAAATAAAGCTATACATACAAGGAATATTTACATATATAGCTCTTTATTCCTTTGTATTTACATATCTAACACACAAGCTTCAATTTTTACATATAGATGCAAGTTTCTACTCACACGAGTAATTAAATATTTCTTTATTAAAGTTATTATTAAATTATTTAAATGAAATATTCACCACAATATTAAATAATGTGAAATAATATAATATAAAGTGGCGTTTAAGGCAATAAATTGTTACAAGTAAATTTAAGAACCCAATTTTTATATATTTACATGTCTAACACCTAAACAATACATTTTTTTACATTCATGCCACTCAAATCTTTTGTATCACATGAAAAAATTACCGCCATTTTGGTTTTTAAAAAGGTGTTATATTTGTAAAATTTGATAGTATGAGTGTTAGATATTGAAATAAATGGGAATTGAGTGGTATGCATGTAAATCTTCCTATTTTGAATTCATAAATCTTCACATTTTACCTATGAGACATTGGGCATTGTTAACATAAATAATACAATCTTTTTGATTTCTAATTTTACTCACATGTTCACAATCATGAGGATGACATAATAATATTTATATGCCATAACATTTTGCTTTCTAAATATTTATATATGATAATCATAGTGCTCCAATAAATAAAATAAAATAACTATTAGATTAAAAAAAGGTTAATTAATACCCACAAAATATATATTATTAATGTGATTAATTATTTCACACTAATGGAGTCTTATTTGTGCTTAAAATATATAAATGATTATACCTAATAAGTTACCTAAAGCATTGAAATGTGTTTAATGCATGAGAATAAAATGTTATGCATATTACTAATTCTTTTATAGATGACAAATATTTGCTAAATGAATACATTTTTATGGCGCAACTTGTGTACATAAGTGTACCAAATACAAATCATGTCCAAACTTTATCATTATGGTATCATGTCATAATAATAGCAGTCATTGTAGCTCATTTTATTATGCATAGCAATATAAACTATGTCTATCATCACACATACATACACACACATATATGGTGTAAGTTACATGTGATGGCTAATCATATTATATCATTTGGTCCTCTTCCTATAACAATCTATATAGATTAGGTATGACGACATATAGATCAATGAAATCATTGGCCCACTCTCCAACATAAAGTATTATATATATGGTAAACTAAATTAGAGTAACTAGACTTTGTATATACACATGTTTAATGTATAGTATTTTAAACTATGCTCGATATTCAACTCATCACATCAATTATAGATCATATAAAAGTGGAAACAAATTAAAAATAATGGAGTTCACATAATAAATCAATATGCTCGATCAATATTTAAAAAGCATAATAAATGAACTATTATAAAATCTATTTGTTTAAATGGATCATTTTGGTTCAGATTCATGCAATATTTATAGAGAATGTCACTTACAAAATACTAGATAAACTCGTACACTCTTCATGAAGAGAGATTTAGACTTGGAACTAGAGAAGAAAGTTGGAGGAGCTTCAGGCCCGGAGGATTCATGAGTGTCACCACCATCATGATTGCCAGACAACTACACTTCAATTGTGTAAGATTACTTTTGACTAGTCGGGGGCCGGTAAAATTTTGTAACCAATAGGGACATAGTAAAATGATTTGAATTGGACCAAGCTTTGTGGTTTTTACCACTTCAAATTTTTCATGTAAGAAGTCCTATTATTCTCTATGTTATTTTTTCTTTTATATATATGTGGGTCAAATCTTCGCACAATATTAGGATGTTAATATATTACTCCAGCGCTATGAATTTAATAGCAAGTAAAAAATATCAAGTGATTTTATTATTATTTATCACTAATTGCTCATTCTATTTTTCATTTTATTATAATAATAATTTGAATTAAAATTATTTTCTATCTTTTATAATAAATAAATTGGACCATGAAGTGACTCAAATTTATAGAATCAAACACAAACTTAACGTCTGTTTGGGTTAGCTGTTATTTATTAAAATATAACTTTGAAACTGCTGAAAAATAATTTATGTTTAAAAAATTGTGGTAATTATTATAATTTTAAAAAAAAGTTGGACAAAAATAAAAAAAAACTAGTGACAAAGTCAAGCTTATCCAAAGAAACAATGACCCGACTTGACTGCATTTGTTGTTGGCTGCTTGCCACTAAGCACTCCCCTCCTTCACCCCTTGACCCCGAAAAGGCCATCTTTAAGAAACCCTAGCTCTACGAGGACAACCCTAGGCGGAGAACTTAACTGCGGAAGCCCTAATTACATTGCTTTTTTGCTTTCAATGGCAGCATCCAGGTCAGCTTCTTTATCAATTTATCTGCAATATCTTCATCGCTCTAGCTGTCGGTGGTTGTTTTGCCTGATTCTTTAAGAGTTTCTGATGGCATGTAGAATTTTCAGTAGGATCTTAGGCTCTTGACTGGGCTTTTGGAACTTCAGATGGTGAATTATAGCTTCTTCTTTGGATTAGAATATTGAAACATGAATCATTTGTCTTGAGTTGTATATATAGAAATTCTTGGTTATAACGACGGTGGAAAAGCATAGTTTAGAATGCATCGGGAGATTTTAGATCTACTATGGATTTATGAGGCTTTTTCTTCTGATGGCTATACACAAACAGCTGAATTCACTCTCTTAGATGCCCTCGAACTAGAAACATTGAATGCTTGTGCTGTTAAGATTCAAGTAATCATCCTTATTACTTCATAGAAAGGGAGAAGTTTACATTTTCTTTGATGGAAGTCGTAGTTGTGAGACCGGTGCAAGTAGGAACAGCTCAATCAATCCTTGTTTATCATGTGGAGCTTGTGGTGGTGTGGTGCAGATAAAATTTCACATAAAAAATTATTTATAATATGTGGCTGAATTTCCTCTCTAAATGTAAATCTTTGACTAATTATTTTTTTGGGCTATGGAATTATTTTGGTGATCTTGGATTAATGTAAAAATCTCGAATAGATCATTCATTTACTTTTGAGAGATCTTATAATATTTATTTATTTATTGATTTTGAATGATCTTGTAGTATTTATTGGGATCTTATAATAATTTATTTCTGCAAACTCGTTCTTTATTGTCATTATATACTGTTTGGCGTTTCATAACTTCAAGCATATAGAAAGAAGAGGGAGAGGAGGCAGGGGAGATAGACTAATACCATTTTAGGGCTTCTAGAAGGTGTTTGGGAAGCGGGTCTAATGGGGAGGAGGTGGAGGAATAGTAAAGGGATTTAATTTAAGCAATCAGTGATATTTGGAGGGGATAAACAATGTTTGGCGGCTGTCCCGACTGAAAATAGAAAGGAAAATCACGAAACAGTGTGGCACGGATGTCGAGAGAGGTTTCAATTGAAATTGCTATTTGAAGGTGTTTGGGAAGCGAGTTTGATGTTAAGATGTAGGAGATGAAAAACACATGTTTGACATTCATTCTAGAGATGAACAAGGTGATTAGATTATTATAGATAACACATAAGGAATTTACGTCTAGACTGAGAGCTAATTAGGAAAAGTTTCAGATCATCAAACCCAAACATTCTAGAGATAAAAAGTACACTGCTCACATTCATTCCATGGATGGGCAGGGTGATTAGATCATGATAAATCAATTTTTGCGCTCGCATTCAAACTTGAAAGCTCATCAAAACTTGGAGGTTGTCCGAGGGTAGTGAGTCTCCAAGGGCGCTCTCTTGTGGGTTGCAATGACTATCATGGGGTGGATAAGATTTTGTTTTACAATATATTTGCTTAGTCAAGACATTAATTAAATGAATCAACCATCGCGTGTCATAAATAATAGTCCAGGAAGGAGAAGTTCAATAATCATCTGCTTGGGTTTCAGCGGCTCAACCAAGGAGAGTATTACGGGATGAGTATTACGTGGTGTGAACAACAATTGGCTGCGAGTTGGAAAATGAAGGAGGCTTCCAAATGTCCATGAGAGATCGCCACTTTGATCCTATAAGGCCACAAACACACCACCAGAAAGAAAACAAAAAACAACACTCACATAGGGAAAATCAGGAGAAAACATCTCCGAATAACATAAATCAAATCAAAAGTCACCTCAAAATAGAAAAAAACAGAACATATAAAGTTTCACAAGGAAAACCCTAATTAGGAATAAGAAAAATATGAAATAAATAAAAATAATAAAATATATGCTAAAATTTGGAAGTTGGTGCTGCACTCTTCCTATTAAAACCTTCAATTGCAAGAGTCGCAAGTCAAGACTTTTGATATCATGGAAGTTCTCTGCATCCCACATTCTCCCCCTTCTCGCATCCTCCTGCATTTGCGTTCCGCTTTCTCCCTTGTCATGCGTCTGAGTCCCACTATCACCTGTGTCCTTCATCACTCTCCTCGGAAAGGAGCTTTGTATTCTTTTCATGTAGCTTCTGGAATTGATCTACCACCACCATAACAAAGCCATCACCTTGTTGTGTCTGAGGCAATCCAAGCTCTTTTCCACGCAAGACAACTTTGCAACACACACGTCATTCCAAAGTTTGTCTTGATAGATTATGTAGCCATTCTTCTTTGACACAACTTGAAGCAATCCCCCTGCAATATTTATGCTCAAGTTTCTTCTTCTCTGGAAGGATCTAGATTCTACTGCAGGATGCTCTTTCCTATAAAACACTTATTGAGATTTTTGAGTTAGCGTCTAACTACTTCTATCTAACATGACATTGCTAAATTGAATTGAAATTTAACACCTAGATTACTTTATATGGCCTTCTAGAAATAACTCAACATTTTCTCATTTTTAACATATTGGACCTGCTTCATTAGTGGCAACTCAAGAGATAGACTATATGCCTGAAAATCCTGAAATTCTCTTATCTGGGCTTGCTTAGTGTTTGATGCAGGCTCGAACTCATGAACCTCATGGACACCCAATGCCTATGGATGTAAAATAGCCGATCATAAATGAGCTGAACTTTTGTTCGTGTTCAAAATCGACTTGTGTTCGAATTTGTTTAAAAATTTTGTGCTCGTATTCGGTTCGATTTATTTGAATTTGGTTCGAATTATTCGTTTTAGCTCGAAACAGCTCGTAATTAACTAAATTTTATGCTTCGTTCAAACAAGTTTGAAATTGTTTGATTTGTTTAATTTAATCTCGTTTAGGTTGATTTAGCTTGAAAATGGTTTAAAAAGTATAGAAAATAAAAAAAAAGCTTCAAAATTTGAAAAAAAAATATTAATGCACATTTTAAATTACAGGTTTTACAAAACAAAAACTAAAAACAATAAAATTTGATGAAGTTACATGTAAATTTATAAGCAAATTAAAATAAATTAAAATAAAATAAACAAATAATGAAATTACAATTTACAAATTTACAAATATATAATGACATGTGACTAATTCTGAAGTTATCACTTTCCAATTGCCACCTGAATCATGATCATCAAATCATCTTTAGAATTTGGATAAATCTGCTCCAACTTTGACAGTGTCAATTGTAAAACCCCAAAGCTCTCTGAGCCTGCAAAAAGTGAACAAGATAGGCACAAAAATAAAAAAAAGCAACAGAAAAAAATGCAACTAACAACTTATTACAATAATAGAGAAAAGAAACTAACACAAAAAGAAAATAAAATAATTTACGGGAGCTCAGAACTTATCTGGTATAAAATATTAAAATTTCGTCATAAGTTTAGAATATATAAAAATATATTTTGAAACTGGTTGAATTTTAATAATAACTGAAATTTCTTAATGCTCTGTAACCAATATCTGGAAATCAAAAATATCAAAGAGGGAAACACATTTATTAAAAGCCAACCATAATAATGGAATGAACTAACAGCAGAGTAATAACCCTTGAGATGTTCATAATATAGGAAGCTTCTCAAACGAATTCAGCATATTTACTAGTGACAATGCTAAACAAATTTATAATTAATTGCCGACAGAAGAGATGGACAAAGTGAAAAAGATGAGAAACAACATAACCAAGTTGAAAAACAAATAAAAGAAAATTTTAAAACCTTACCCAAATCAAAAGCAATCTCAAGGGCTCATCCACAGGACTCCACACCTCCATATGCAATTTATGTGCCAAGCTTATCAAAAGGCAACCGCAATTATGGTGGCAAGTGACAACTAGCTAGCCAACAAGCAAAAACAGGAGGCATAGCTAGCAGAAAGATAAGAACCAACTAGTAGAAATAATAACCAACAATCCAACTAACATAAAGAAGAGGCATAGGTGTTTCCCACTTTCTTAAAAATAGTTCAAAGGTTTGGTGTGGCTTTTGTGGTAGACAAGATTAGAGAGTCGTCTTAGATGGTTTGGTTACATTAAACGTCAACTATCTGATGATTCGATTAGGAGAGCAGATGCTTTAGATTCAACTTATGTTAAAAGAGATAAGGGTGGACCTAAAAAGACTTTGACATGTTGTATAAAAAATAATCTTAATTTATTGAACTAAATGAAAATATGACATTCAATACGGCCCAATGGAGAAAAAAAGATTCATGTAGCCAACCCCACTTAGTGAGATAAGGGCTTGTTTTTGTTGTTGTATATATAAATTTCAGTGATATTTTTCAAATCAAATATCATCACCGAATTCATAATATATGTGCAAGCGAACAAAAAATGATATTTAAAAAAACAAAAAGTGAAAACATCTATCAACATATTCATTCAAATAAGGCGAATTCATATAACTTCAAGTCTTATATATTTTATTTTTAAAATAATTCTTGATTCAATTCTTGCTTTAAAATTGCATAAATTGCGTTAAAATATGCAAAGTTACTTAACATTACTAAATATATGAAATTAAATGTTTGCATGTGCTATGGTTAAAGTGCTAAATGTTTTAACAAATTGTCTGGGAATGTTGTGTGGGCTAGCTCAAAATTAAATATAATTTACCTGCTTATACTCTACCAAATTGACTCGGTGTTTAAACTTAAATGGTATGAGAATATTGCGTGGTGGCAAATAAAATTTTTACTTAAATTGCTCTTATTTTGAAAGTTTATATTTTTTTTTTAATTTGCACTTATCTTAAAGTTATAAATTCTTATTTTTAAAATCAAATTCAAGTAATCAAATTATACATACTCTCAAGGGAATGATAATAAGTCTCACTCCGATCTACTTCCTCTTAAAGTTTGGATTTGTCGAGTCTAGTAAATTTCAATAATGTTTAAATCATAAATACAAATTTGTAAGTCTCAATAATTTAGTCTTATTATTCTCTTAATAAAAATTAGAATTGATAAGACTAATGTTTAAAATATATTAAATCATCAAATGTCAAAATAAACTGCAAATATAAGTGTTTTAAATGTTCACTTCCCTGATGATGATCGAGTTGATAGAAGATTTCAACTGTAGGAGCCTATTTTCAAAATTATGGTTCAAAGTGGATTTAAATAAACTCAAATGATACACACACACATATATACATACATACATACATACATACATAATTACAGGGCATGCCATAATTGATAAGGTTGATGTACAATCATATGTCCATATTAAGTCCAAGCCTTTACAAGCAAGAAGTCAACAAGGTTCAAATCAAGCAATGAAATCTCAGGCTGCCGTTTTGGTTTTTTTTTTTTTAAGGCATTATGGTTATATTTTCTTGGGCAGGGCTTTCGCCCTGTAAGCCTTATATCCCTCCTAGTTGTGTTATGTTTTAATGCCTTTATATTTATCTCTATTGGACTAACACCTCATGCCTTATATTTTTCTTTGTTAGGTTATTATCCCAAGTTTTATATTTTTCTAGTATTTGTGATCACCTCATGCTTTGTGTCTTTCTCTTCTAGGTTATGACACCACGTCTTGTATTTCACGTGGTTGGGTTATCATCTCATGCTCTTCAGCTCGACTACCATATCAGTCATTTGGTTTATCACTCCATGTCTTATTCCTTTTTAGCATATTATCATTTAAGTCCTATATTTCTCTCGAATAAGGTTATCAGTCCATTTCCTTTCTTTTGGGTTGGGTTATCACTCATTATCCTTTTTTCTTCTTGGTTTATCAATCTACGCCACATCAATTTTCAGCATAATCACACTGTAAGTTCCATATTTATCTCGAACATTTGGTCACTTTATGTTCTGTTTCTTGATAGCTTCAAGAGCGAGTTCTTTTGAAGATCATAAACACCATTTAACAATTGTCTTAAGTTCAGATCTTAAAAACACAATTAGTGAGAAAAGATTATGCTACAATTTTGATTTTTAGCAAGATGATGAATAGATAATTTGTCTAAAATAATTTGTGGAATATAAAACATCAGAGAGAGAAAGATTTAGGAGGTTATAGGATGCCGTTCCACAAATTAGAGAGGTGAAATCATCAACAATATTGATAGGGGTAGAAAAGTTTTTCAGAATGATTGGTTCAAACGCAATGGTAGCGAGAAAGGTGGTCTGAATATAATTATGATTATCGCCATTTGTTTGGGGCCGCGTTTCTCTCGTGGCGCGACCCCAAGCCGTACATTTTTTTTTTTGCGTTTAGTTGTGGCTTTTTGGCGGCGTGTGCAAAAATTTTCACGGAACGCAGGTTCTATCCTGCGGCCCGCATTTTCGCTCTGTTTTTTTACTCGCTACTCTTCCCTCTCTTCACGGTTGCAATATGAATGTTCGGATTGGTTGAAGTCCGCGAGATCACGGCTGGAGATTGAGGTAAGCAAACGACAGAGGTAGGCATAGAAGAAAATCAATCTTGAAATAAAACAGTTAAAGGTAAGAATTAATTCTTCTTTGCCGTCGACTGGGGTCTTGGGCCGGCAGCTTACAGAGAAATTGATATTTTAACTTCTTTTCAGCGCTACTTTTTGACTTCTTTTCAGCCTTGAAGATCATTTGTTGGTCTAATTTTTTATGCTAGTAGTTCACAATTCCTTCGTTGTTTTGGTAGAGGATCAGCTTTGAGGGGGCTTTTTGATTTGTTTCAAGTAAATTGATTGAAAAGTGAAGCTTACTGCTTCTGCTTGTTATTATTTACTCTTTTTTTCTTTTATTCAATTTGTTATTACAAATTAATGGAAAGGAATGTGATGGTAGAGCAGCATGATCATTAGAACTGGAGTTAATTGCATATTTGCGCTAGAGCTGTGGTACTCATGTTTTGTCTTCAGAACAATAATTTCAGAGCTTAAAATTTGAATTACAAACACGTTTCAGACTTGCAATGAGTCAAAGGATCATGGCGACCAAACCTCAGAAGCTTTTGCAGTAGAAGCTGTACTATTACCAGCCTCAAAATCATCGATTGAAGCAGCATGTTGCAATACAGTTGAGGATGGAGGTTCAAAAAATAGTTTTTTTGAGCCTGCCTTCTCCTAAAGCCCCGAAGGACTCAAATTTTTGCAGTGCAGAAGCTTTATTCATAATGGGCCAGTGAACAGTTGAACTAACTGAGGACTTAAAATCGTTTTTCCTTATGTTTTTTTGTGTCCAACATAGTTTATTATTGCATAATGAATGAATATAGATATCCCTTGATCAGTTGGCTTTATAGGTTTTGTTGTTTAAAAAAATATATATTTAAATTTGTTTATTCATTTGAATTAACAAGCTTTAGTTACTCTTATTTGAATAAGCATCTCAGTTATTCTTTAAGCATGTTAATTCATTTGCTGCCCTATTTGTTGATGAGTTTCCAATAGAGAGATCTCGTGCGATGAGTTTATAAGAAAAGATCATGCATTTTGTGAGGTTTATATCTTATTTTTTTATACTATTTTGAAGTGGATTTTTAATGCTCAAGTATCAAATGTATTGCTATGACAATTCTGTTACAAACAACATTACCACGTAGGGACGGAATGATCATTTGTTCAGAAACAGCTGACGCATAGTCGTTTTCAAACTGCAAAAAATAAACAATAAGTCAGCTTATCCGCAACAGTTTCTGCGCAGCAGCTTCCTGGGGCAGCTCCTGCGCAGCAGCTAATTGATATGCTGCAGCTACCCCAAACAGACCCTAAGTGGTCCAAAATTAGAGCTTGAGGTGTTGAGAGATCAACGATGACGAAGAACTTGCGAGAGAGCCATTGCAATGTTAGGAATCATAAAATTTGTCTTCTAAATGAACTTGCGTGCCCTGAGAGGAGATGCAGGTTAACTTCATTGACATACTTTTGCCAAACAATCAGTTTACAATGATTTGTAAGTGTTCGTCATTTCTCTCCTTTTTTTTTAAAACATTTTACATTTTTTTCATATTTCATTTTTCTACCAACTCATAACTTTATGTAGGGTGTCAAATAATAGTGTAGTTTGCCGACAACTTGTAAATTAACTTAATCATAATCAATTTGATAAATAAAGGTTTTTTACTGTTGTAAAATATTTCAAACAGTTTAAATTATTTTGTTAAATACAAAAGTTAATTCGATCATATTAAACTTGATAAGAGTTGGATTTTCTTTAATACCTGCAGATTACTTTTCTACATATTTATTCAAAAAATATTCATATATTTAACTTTAAATACCATCAGATAACTTGATATTTTGTTAAAAAACATTTATTTTTGGTGCAGTTAGTGCCATAAATTATAATTTTTATAATACATTTGCTACTTATCGAAGCAACCTTAGGATGTTATTTCGTTCTAAACTCACACGTGGCTAATAATAGGCAAGTCGAATATAGGCATGTAATATACTGACACACGTGGGAGAGTGTTGAGTGACTGAAGAGCATCTTCATCCTGCATGTTTAGGAAATCTGAACGATTCCCTTTTACTTTTATTCCCAAAATGACATAAGTGTCTGTTCTTACTATTTTTACTTCTCTATTCTTTGTTTTTGACAATTTTTTATAATTTGGGGTTCATTAGTAAACTATTGCTGTCGTAAGAGGCCTATTCTAAATGGCTAAAACTTTTATAAACAATGACCGAAAGTTTCTGCTGATGCGTACGCTAATATTTAATTTGTAGAAACAGGTAGGAGTGTATTCAGATTCATAGGATTTTAAAATATCATCATATCAATATCATCATATGCATACATAAATATATTATGAGAACATCATAACTTATTAAATAAAAGTATAATTCTTGCGTTTTCTAGCACAACCTTTCTTTCTCCTCCAGAGTTGCACACCCAAAACGACTTTTTTTTTTTTTATATTGTTTCATAAAAATGAAAGGTACCTTAACATTTATTAAAAAAATATCTGTATTTATCCAACAAATGGAAAATTGATGTAATTTAGACTAGACTTCTTATAAAACTGTCATTTTCCTACCTCCAATTAATTTTACATATCTATTTTGTGAATAGTAAATACTAAATGAAAAGTACTGTAAAATTCCGTTCTTTATAACTATAACATTCAGAGGAAAGGCGTAGGACATTTACCAGCACAAGCTTACAGAGAAAACTTACACTGATGTAGACCACTGAGCTTTAAGCTTAGAAAAGCCTAATATTACATTTACTTAAACCTTTTTAAATCCAACCCCCCAAATCTTCTAAAAATACTAACTCCCTACTTTTTCTATTTATGTTTTAAACCCTGGACTCTTGACTGGGCTCAGCAGGAGCAGGTGGGTGACAATTGAGGTCAAGCAAAGCGGCTGGACCTGGCTTGGAGTTAGCATTGTGTGCCGAGCAAGAGGACTTGGCAAGCTGCTGTTTGAGTTGGGAGATGAGGATCTGGTTCTCTTGGTTGAGCAGCTGCGCCTTCTTCCTTAGCCTCTCATTCTCCTGCATTATGTAGCAGTTCTGCAGGTACAGCCTTGAATTGATCCTCTCCATTTATCAATTCTGAATCTTCTAAATTTATCTGAAATTAGCAGTTTTAAGTGTGAACAGTGTTTAAATTTTGTTAGATTTACATACATATCACTCAATTCTTATGAATTTACATATGTAAAAGTGTATTTCACCTTTTAAAAGTCAAAATAAGGGTAATTTTTATTTGATATGAAAGATATAGGTGGTATATATGAATGTAAAAGATTCGTGTTCGGCTGTTACATATCTAAATACATAGAAATTTGTGGTATGTATGCCATTAAAACAATAGAGTTGCAGTGATAAACCAAGAGATGTCACTTCAGAATTGAAACATTAGCAAGATAAACAGAACAAAGGTTGTTGATACAAATATGATAGAGAGAGTGTGTGTGCGTGTGTCTGGAAAGCTTAAGTGGTCAACTGAATTGTATATCCTAATTAAATTTTAAATACATTAATACTTTAAAAAATGGTTTTTTTTTTCATTTTTTGAACAGAGAATTTTCCTTGTCCGTCTAAATAAAGAATACAGAATATTATTCCAGCTTATTGAAACAGAGAAAGAACTTATCCTAATTCATGCAAGCCCAAGTAATGATATATAAATTCTCATAAAAAAAACAAAAATTCACACACTTATAGAGAGAGAGAGAGAGAGAGTTCAAATATCTCTTGGCCTGGCTTACTCTTTTATGTAGCGATATCTCACTCTGTAGTAAGAAGAAGATAAGAACCGCAGAGGAAATACAAAACCTCTAGATTTGTTCTTTGTTCCCAACCCCTTAATCTATGAGATACATGAGCTCTATATATAGAGCGAAGAAAAAAAAGGGAAAATCTCATAATAATGAGGAGACGAAGAAGGTGAAGGAGCAAGATCTCATGGCGTCACGTGATGATGAGGGTTTGGGTCTGATGATGGGTTTAGTCCGCCCAAGATTCGCAATGATGGGTTTTACTTCTGGGGCCTTCCTTCATCATTTCTCTTCTTTATTCCCCCCCCCACCCCTTCAAATTTCAAGGAATATTACCATATTTACAAATCTAACACCTTTAACTTTAATTTCTACACATATGAAAGATTTGGGTTGTACAAATGTAAAAAAAAATAAAGTTTAGTTGCTAAATATGTAAATATATAGGAATTGGGTGGTATGTGTGTAATAGTGTAAATGCTTTATGTTTTGAATTTGCTGTTATGATATATTTATTTAGATGCCAGATTAGTATTTGACTAATTGCATACGGCCATGCCTTTTTATGGTATTCTTCATCATTAGTCTTATGGTTATTTGTCTCTGTCTAACCATATGGGGTCCCCTTTTGTATTCTTATTCTTTATCTGTCTCTATGCGGTATTCTTTGGAGCTTTGAATCTATTTTGAGAAAGTATTTTTTACACTTTTACCCACAAAATTATTCTTTTTGCTCATTTTTTTTCCGAATTTGTTTGCATTCATTTTGTTTACTTTTTTTTTTATTACATATTTGGGAATTTTTTTCAGATTTTTGTTTCATTGAATTCTTTTCAGTAGATAATACTCATTATATATAT